GGAGGAAATCATCATCGAAGATGTGTGCTAATTAATAGAATGTTGAAAATAAGAATGCATAGAAAAATAGTTAGGAACATAAGTTTTACAATAAGCAATGATTTATGGCCATACATACAATTAAAATGCGATATAACTAATGAAAGTTATTGCATGAATATAATTACTCGATAATCATTAAGATGATTCTTACATAATCCACTTAAAATAAATTATTTATTTTTAATTTTTATTATTTTATATTTACCAAGTTAAAGCGTTTCTTTTAAGACTAATCCTGATTTGAAAATTTAAGCACCATTTTTAATATTTTCTTCTCTTATAAGCACCATTTTTAATATTTTAATTCTTCTCTTAGAAGCCACATATTTTTAACTAGGGGTTAATTATACGCTAGGTCAATGAACTTTCACCCTAGTAAAAATTAGGCGACTAAACTTTGATTTGGAACAATCAAACTATTAGCCTTAGTTTGGTAAAATTAATAAATTATTTATAAATAACCAAACTTCATTTTTAACTATATAATTAAATAGACCGATAAATATCATCAACTTATCTATCACTTATTTCTATCTATTTATAAATTAATTTTTCATAAATTCTTCACAAAGGAATTGGATAACTCCTTTTGGATTCTGATAAAAAGCCTACGGAATTTGTTTACATGTTTGTTAAAATAGTTTGCTATTCGTCTAGGGCCACGTGGGCCCTGGACGAACAGGGGACGCTCCTTGGAGAGATATGACCATCTCTCTAGCAAAACTATTGTTAAAACTAACGAAATTCCAATGTATCATACTAGTCGGTAAATTATTATAACTAGAGGTCATTGAACTTTCACCCTTGTTGCAAGAGGTTCACTATGTTATACATTTTAAAATAGTATATTAATGGATGATGAGTTATTAAAATATAAGGAATTTTTTTGAATTTGCATGTAATATTATTTTATTGAAAAATATGTGGTTGAAAAGGAAATATAGAAAAATGTATTTTAAAAATAATGAGAATCAAACAAGGGCCAATGTTTTTTAACTGTAATGACTAAATGAGTCAGAGAAATAATTTATGGAATCAACTTCATTAACAATTAGTGCCCTTTTGTCATTCTCAATGATATGCATTGTTGCCTCCCCTTCCGTGTTGATGTTCATATCAAATTTTTTTTCATCCGTCTTCCGTATTTAATAGATTTTTGAATAGTCTGAATCATATTTATTTCGAGTATTGATTTTCAAAACTACGTTGGTTTGTCCTTATTTTCCATGATTTGTATTTCAATTAGGCATCCAAGGTTGGATTTTTTAAGCCCCTGTCTGGTCGTCATTATTTACCAAAAATAATATTTTGAATAGTGAATTTTTGGAGAATATATGATTAAAAAATATGAAAAGAATTTTGGTATACGTGTAGAATATTTATTGTGTGAATGTGTTGTTAAAAAATGAACTCAAATAGAGGCTAAGATACATGATCGATTGCTTGCTTCTTCTCTTTTCCATTTTAAATCAGTTTTGATTCTAATGTGGTTGCTTTAGAAGTCCAAATCCCATTAAAAGATTATTTTTTCAGAGGAAAAATGGATTCAATCGGGCAAGAAAGAGAAAAAATGTTTTAATGTTTTGAAAAAAATTGACTACACTTAGCCCATGTTTGATTTGGATTAAAATTCAATTAAAATTTTAAATCAAAGTCAACAATTAATTTTAATCACGTATAGAGACTTATAACTTTTCAACCACATATTTCATTAACTTTTATCAAAATTTAGTAAAAATTTGGTGGCTTAATGTAGCAGTTGGATGGAAATGGATAAAATCACAATTAAAAATATAATTAATGGGGAAAATATTAAAAAATGGAAGGTAATTAATAAAGGAAATGACATCTTAGCCCTTTAGATTTTTGGAACCCTTACCGGGCGGCCCATTTATCTAGCTGAAGTCACTTTCTTCTTCCCAAAAACCCTACCCAGAGAAATCTAAACCCCATCTCGATCGGAAAACTGATCAAAATCAAGCTCATTTTCAGTGCCCGAAATCCTATCAAGCATCATGAGAAATCAATGGATGCGATTGCTTCTTCTCCGATGCTACAACACTCAGTCACAGTTTTGCATTTTCCGACAGTCCCAGGTAAACTCTCTCCGTTCATTCACTTCGTCTTTCTTGTACTCACGTGAACCTAAGGTGATCCCGAGATCCTTTACCTTAATTCGTCATTTTTCATCCTCATCCGAGCTCGCCGAGGAGTCGAAATCCACCCCCGATCAGGCTGTTTTATTATTAATCGACATTTTCGGTAGAACCGGAAAATCTAATGAAGAAATTAAGATTGATTTGGATTCTAATAATGTGAATATTACCCATGATTTGGTTTTGAGTGTTTTGGAAAACTCGAGCGCTACCCCTGATGTGGCTAAGAGGGTTTTTGACTGGGTATTGGAGAGTGAAAGTAAGAAGTTGAGCTCAAAGTCGTATAATTTGATGCTGGGGATTTTAGGTGGTAATGGGTTTGTGAACGAGTTTTGGGATATGATTGGGATTATGAAGCAGAAAGGATATGGTATGTCAAAGGGCACCTATGCTAAGGTTTTTGAGAAATTCGTGAAAGACGGTTTGTGCGATGATGTTGACAAGTTAAAGAAGTTGTTTAATTGTGGGTCTGCAGGAAGCAAGAGTAGTAATGCTGAGGAAGAGGTTTGTCGTAGAGTATGTAAGATTGTTAAGCAAGAAGTGTGGGGAGATGATGTGGAAAAGCAGTTACATGAACTAAATGTGGAGTTTTCGAGCAATTTAGTATCAGCCGTATTAGAGAGTCTTGAAGTGGAGCCGAATAAAGGGTTGATATTCTTCAGGTGGATTGAGGAGAGTGGTTTGCTTAAGCACAGCGAGCAGACATTTAATACTATGGCAAGGGTGTTGGCTAGGGAGGATTACAGTGAGAAATTTTGGAAAATTGTTAATGAAATGAGGGGTGCAGCGTATGAGATGGAGAGGGAGACTTATGTTAAGGGTTTACAACGGTTTGTGAATAGTAAAATGATGAAGGACGCTGTGGATTTGTATGAGTTTGCCATGATTGGTGAGAATAAGCCTTCAGTTCATGACTGTACCTTCCTTTTGAAGAAAATAGTGGTTAGTAAAGAACTGGATATGGACTTGTTTTCGAGAGTTGTGAGTGTTTTTAAGGCAAATGGAAATATGTTGACTAATGCTAACCTTGATGCGGTTCTCAAGTCCTTGACTAGTGTTGGAAGAATTGGGGAGTGCAACAAGATCTTGAAAGCAATGAAGGAGGGTGGTTATCTACCTAGTGGTTATTTGCAGAATAAGATTGCCTTCCAACTTAGTAGTGGTGGGAAAACAGAGGAAGCACTTGAGTTTATGGATAACATGGAAGCATCTGGGACTGCTTATGATTACAGAGCATGGGTTTATTCAATTGAAGGATCTTGTGTAGCTCGTGATTTGGATAACGCATCTGATATATTTCGAAAGATGGTCGAAAAAGAAGGGGCCTCTTCTGATGTGTATGCTTTAGATATGTTGGTTAGTACATATTGCCGAAAGAACAGAGCAATGGACGCATTCAAGCTTGTTTCTGAAATGGTTAATGTAAAAGAGTTACGTCCTTGGCACAGTACATATAAAGAATTGACAAGCAAGCTTTTAGCTCGAAAACGTTTTTTAGAGGCTTTGGATGTTATGAATTTGATGAAAAATCAAGGGTATCCACCATATCTGAATACGTTTATTGATTACCTTTCCAAGGTTGGCAGTGCAGATGATGCTGTAACATTTTCAAAGGCCATGAGTTCTAAGAATTTGCCATCAATGTCCATATATCTTCGTCTTTTTGAAGCATATTTTAAAGCAGGAAGGCAAAGTGAAGCACAGGACTTCCTATCAAAATGTCCAAGATACATAAGAAATCATGCTGATGTTTTGAATCTGTTTTGTTCTGTAAAATCTGGAGATGCAGCTGAGACTGCTGCTGTCGCTGCATAGGACTCAGAGAGATGTATCATTTGCATTGTTCTTTTTTGACATCATAATGGTAGGCAAAAGAAAAATTGCTCCCTCTTTCTCCATTGCATTTTCCTCTTGGGGAGTGCCTCACTTCTTTTTCGATTAACGTTTAATGTGATGCCTGTCAGCTCTCGATTAGTTATTTACTTCAATACTTTTATATCAATCTACTGATTGACGAATGATAGAACTTTGAGACATTTACATTTGAAGTGGGTTTGTTACAGCCAAATTGGAGCCTACTTTGTCAACCTGGACTAGCCATGCTTCTGAAACCTCTGCATCTTTGTATTCTAGCGTTGATTTGATCCTCAGAAAGAGGAGATAGTCCTTTAGGACATTCTTTTGGCTTTTTTTAAAACGAGATGATTTTGCCAGGAATCTTACATCACATTTTAATCTCATTTGTCTGGATGTTGGTTCCACTCAGCTTACAGTTTCCTTCATTTCCGCTCTTTCGGACATTGTTTCTGCTATATTTAACCAATTTTGCTGGTTCTAACGCGTATGGTCATTTTTGGTCACGGTCTCTTCTGTATTTAATTTCACTGAGTTAGATTCTTATTTGTTTTTAGCATATATTAATGTCCCCGGATTTCTTTTTGCTGGAAAAATCAAGAAGATACTTATGACACTAGACAGAAACCCAGTAATATATTTATTGTCAATTATCTAATTTCATTTGATCTCCGAAGTTGCTAATTTTCCTCGTCACAGGCCTAACTTCCTTCTGGTTCGTGCATACCTGAAAAACTTAAGACATGACGGAGCAATCTTTAGAAGGATATAGGATATATTCTTGTTCTTGTTTTTCGTTCTGGTTATCAATAAATGTTGTTCCATTAGGAAGCTTTAAGCTTTATAACATTGAAAGACTTATTTTGTTGTTTCTTGTGCTTTCAAATAGGAGTAGTAGTACTGATTTATGTGAACTGATTACTTCTCTCCTTTTTTACCTAAAGTGGCCTATGATGAAATGACCCTTCACAGGTCTGAGGCTTGTGATAAACTGGATGTCTTCCTAACACAGCCAACGATGAGCTTAAGATCTGAGGCTATTATGTTTACTAGCTCTTTCAACACTTCGTGACTTGGGAGTATAACTGAACATGATTTAATTAATATGTATTGAAATGAAATTTATGTCAATTCATAATGTAGCATTTGTGAGATCTATAATCCACTAGGAATATGCCCTGGTTATGCTGCGGACCCTTTGAAGGGGTAGGGTGGGGGTGGATTGCATAAAAAAAAAAAAAAAGGCAAAGAAGTGTTAGGACGGCAAAAAAAAGGAAAATTGACAAAGAGGATTCTACCATGGTTGACAAAATCTTGCGTTTCGAATTTCAGAAATCCTTTATTTTTCTAACACTAAACTAATTCTCATCTTGTAAATAAAGTTTGATTTTTTTTAATGTTTTTTTATTTTTTGTAGACGCTTGAACGTCAAAATTTTTACTCTTTAATTTTTTTTTTTAACATTAATTTTATTCCTGAACATGTAAATTGTTAAATACTACTACATATATTTCTTTATCTTGGATTTTTTTTTCTTCATTTTTAAGTTATAATACATTATTACATGATTATTATAATAAGAACCTGGCACTTTCATTTTCGTCGTGCAAAAGATTTTTGGTAACTTCCACAAATAGTACTCTTTTTGAAGAATGTAACATATGATGTTGTAAATGATCCTCAGTAATACTATGTTTTGAAATCTTAAACGTAATAGAAAAGAAATCTGCTGCAGGTCCCATTATGAAAGACACTGGACATGGATGGATGTAGTGTAATTTCCTAATTTTCTTAAGAAACATCACAAGGTGTAGGTGAATGGAAAATTACAAAAAGAATAAATGAAAAGAAAATTCGGGACACTGTTTTAAATTTGCTAAGGTAGTCAGCTTCTTTTAACTGGTCAGGAACTCTAAACCCAAAAGAGATCTGCTACAATTACCGCCGGGGGGAGGGGGGGGTTGACAACCCCCCTCACCGGCCCCTCACAATAGTGGGAACAGCCGAGAATTCTGCTCTGGAGACCCAAATTGGAAAACTGCAATGTGCACTAAAGGGGAGGGTTTTTGGTTCGCAGCTTGACCTAAACGTAGCATTTTTTTTTTTGTTACAAGCAATCATTTATTAAATTTAAATAAAAAAATAACGTAAATGATATTTACGCATCTTAAATTGCTTTTGACACAACTGAATCCGAGACCTCAATTTATTTGAAGTGCAGTTTATTATTGATAGCATGCTCAAACTTGAAAGTTCTATTTTTATTTACAACCAAATAGTGAATGTTGCATCACAAACCAAGAAGATGTTTCTTGTAAAAATATTTAATTGCTTTTCAATATATGGTTGGATTCTAGAAGAGTCTTTCTAAATTTAATAATGAACACTTTAGAAGCTCAAAACGTATACTCCACCGAATGATAATTTTTGAACTAACATTTACTATCATATGTTATGCTACTTGTCAAATGAAATTATCTTTCTCTATATGTTTTTTAATAATTTGATGTCATTCCATATTTTTATCCCTAGAATGTTTATTAGGCTATGTCGATACAGTAAGTTTTATAATCATTTTCTATTTTAAAGGAGATATTAAGGTCCAGTACTACGATGGGTCTTTGATTTTATTTTGATTTTCTTGAATTGTTTTCGATTTTTTTTTTTTTTTTAAGTTTGCAAAGATAATCCCAGTTTGTATTTCGAAATGATTATTATTTTGCAGTTTCATATTCGTAACTAACATTGTTTCGTTTAGGCCCTGTTTGATTGACAAGATTTTCCATGGAATTAGGAAATTTTTCCCGTTTTCCACTTTTTGCGCTGTTTGATAGCCTAAATTTTCCACGAAAAATATTTTCCCACTTCCTCCGCCACGTCAGCTTTTTCCCACTTTTCATTGAAAATATTTTCCCACCTNAAATTATACCAATCAATCACACTTGAAATCATTTTTCCTGCAAAATATTTTCTAAGAAAATCTTTTCCCTGTAAAATATTTTCTTTCCACCCATTTTCCACCCTTGCAATCAAACGCACCCTTAGATATTTTTTACAATTAAGATGTAAATTAGTTAAAATTCTAGCTAAGTTTGATGAATGCATGTCTACAAATTTATCCCATGTTTGACAATCATTCTTTCAAAAGAATGAGTTTTTGAATAGTAAATTTTTGAAGAATGTGTGATTCTGAAGTAGGAAAAAGTTTTGGGATTACGTGAAGAATATTTTATCATGAGAATGTGTGGTTGAAAATGAGTATGTGAAGAAAATAGTTTTGAAAGAATGCTTGTCAAACACAGGTTTAACTTTATTGAGAAACATGTTTTGTCTATGTTGTCAAGTATGAAAAAAATTGGAATAAGAATAACAGAAAAGGAAATCCAACGATAAAGATAAACCTCATGAAACTAAAGGCGTATAACTAGATTAGATAAAAAGACATGTTATTGAGCTCAACCGTTGTAGTTGTTCATAAACCGCATGAAACTAAAAGCATATAACTGAATTAGATAATAAGACATTATGTTATTGAGCTCAACCGTTGCGGTTGTTCTTGCTGAATTATTAATAGTAACTCTTAGCAGTGAGGAATCTCTAAATAGCAGCTATGGAATTTGCCTCTTTAGCCCGTGGAATTCAAAATAGACTAATTTCTATCATGTCTCGAAGATTGAAAGACAATTCAATGGCATTCATGGGGATCATCATGATGGAAGTCATATGCTTATATGGCTTATCTGTTTTCGATAAAATTGATTTGTGCTCTGATTTTTTACTCTATTTATAGGAGGGAGTGGATACTATTTTTGTGAATATTATTCTCACTGGTATTCAACAACGGAATTTGAAGGCATGTTTGATATATTGGTTTCTTTTCGTGAATAATTTCAGGATCTTATACCTTCTTCGTTATGAACTTTCCTGAATGTCAATAATTGTAGTTATTCCTTGTATACATTCTCTTATAGAGGGCCTTGGGTAAAACCTGTATTGAACCGTGTAGGTCTCGTAGTAGAGATATTTAATGCTCTTGCTCAGACAAAGGAAGCAAAGCATCAGGTTATCTACAATTTGATTGCATTCCTTTTAGTTTGACGACATTATGGTTTTCAAGGGCTCACCATATTTTATATGATCATTTATCAACATATGGGCTGAGTTAGCTAGTATATATATCCACTATCCACCTTCATGATACTTTTGTAGCTTGTAATTTAACTGCGATTGTGTATTAAACTTAGCTTTTGAATGTAGAAATCACCATTTATTTACGCATTACATTATTATTTTAGGCTTTTTCTTAGCATATCAAATGTTTTCAATACTTGAGCAAATAATTTTTTTTTCTATATCTACGCTATTGCATACTCAATTGAACCATGTCACGTGCATCTTACTAGATATTATTAAAATGTGACACGATGTCATTTTTTGAGTTATGTGTCATTTTTTTATTAAATATTTGTCACTCAAAAAAGTCACAAAAATTTCAAGAAAGTGCAAGAAAATAAAACAAAAGTAAAAAATGATGTATAAAATGAAGTGGCACAATGTCACTTTTTAAAGTTAAGTGACATACAATGTCACTTTTATTAAAAATGTGATGTTTGTTACAAAAAAAAAGTAAGGGCGTCTTTGATACGCGTTATTTTCCAGGCAACTAGGAAAATATTTTCCACTTTCCACTTTTTTGGCTGTTTGATAGGCGAAATTTTCCACGGAAAATATTTTCCGGGTTTAGCCCACACGTGTGCATTTTCCGGCTTTTTGATGAAAATATTTTCCCGCCTTTTTGGTGAGATGCCAGGAATCTTACATCACATTTTAATCTCATTTGTCTGGATGTTGGTTCCACTCAGCTTACAGTTTCCTTCATTTCCGCTCTTTCGGACATTGTTTCTGCTATATTTAACCAATTTTGCTGGTTCTAACGTGTATGGTCATTTTTGGTCATGGTC